AAATGCTAATCTTCCTAGGTATTTATTCCTTACGTGTAACACCTCATTGAAAACGGGGTTAACAGTTTTTCTCCTCACAGACGACTTCCTCTTGCCCATCCGTGCTTTGTCTGGAAGCAGGTAGGTTTTGACGTACCTGCGAAGAGGGAGCCACCGAGTTAACATTCAACACAGTTAGGATCTTGCATACAAACAGGAGATGCCTGACAGTCAGCAACAGCTGGGTTGTCAACATGGTGTCTGTGCCGAGTTATAATTCATCTGGTGGAGCCAGGGACAAATGTAGGGTTGGTCACCAACTTAAATGGCCTTAAAAAGAGGATAAGACCCCATATATACCCATTCAACCACTTGGATCTGCAGAACTGGCAGTATAACAGGTGCCACATACCGTATTTTTTGCTTTATAAGACTCACTTTTCCCCTCCTAAAAAGTATGGGGAAATGTGTGTGCGTCTTATGGAGCGAATGCAGGCTGCACAGCTATCCCAGAAGCCAAAACAGCAAAAGGGATTGCTGCTTTCACTGCGCAGCAATCCCTCTTGTTGTTCTGGCTTCTGAGATTCAGAATATTTTTTTTCTTGTTTTCCTCCTCCAAAAACCAGGTGCGTCTTGTGGTCTGGTGCGTCTTATAGAGCGAAAAATATGGTAATAATACTCAATGCACATTTCTAAGAAATTGGTACTTTTTAGTGTGGAGGCATCCAGACTTTGGAACTCCCTGTCTATTTGACATCAGGCAGGCACCTTCATTATGGTGCCTGGTGATAAAAGTTTTGCTTAGGCAAGATGTTGACTTGTGCTTTAATATGTTTTTACCTTTTTTTTAATGTTGCAATGGTTGTTTAAACTGTTGTTACTGATAACAATTGTTTTAGTACTTTTTGTAAGCCACTTGCTTTGAGGGCTTCTTTACAATCAAGAATATAAACTTTATGAATTAAAATAAACGAAGTAAATAAATAAATTCATGGAGGAGAAGGCTGTGAATGACTACTATCCATGACCTATGCTCACTGTTAGAGGCAGTACTAATGCTCACTGTTAGAGGACAGTCTGTCCCCCGACCTCTTCTGAAGGCTGGGGGGGGGACAAGGGCTTTTCTTCCCACCCCCAGCATTTTAAAAAACCTCAGGACAGCAGAGGGCTTCTCCGCTGTCCGGGGCGATCTTAAAATGCTGGTGGGCGGCATTTTAAGATCGCCCCGGGACAGCGGAGGACTTCTCCGCTGTCCTGGGCGATTTAAAAGCCCCTGGGAAGGCAGGCAGGGGGGGACAAAGACTTTTGCCCCCCCACCAGCCTTCAGAAGAGGTCCTGGACCTCTTCTGAAGGTGAGCGGGGGGCGAAAGTCTTTGCTCCCCCCCCCCCGCCTGCCTTCAAAAGCCCTCCGGGACAGGCAGGCAGGGGGGAGCAAAGAGAGGGCTTTTGAAGGCAGGCGGGGGGAGCAAAGACTTTCGCCCCCCGCCCGCCTTCAGAAGAGGTCCTGGACCTCTTCTGAAGGCGGGCGGGGGGCGAAAGTCTTTGCTCCCCCCGCCTGCCTTCAAAAGCCGTCGGGGACAGCGGAGAAACGCGCTGCGTTTCCCAGGAAGGCAGGCAGGGGGGAGCAAAGCCTTTTGCCCCCCGCCCGCCTTCAGAAGAGGTCCTGGACCTCTTCTGAAGGTGGGCAGGGGGCGAAAGTCTTTGCTCCCCCCGCCTGCCTTCAAAAGCCCTCCGGGACAGTGGAGAAACGCGCCGCCCAGGGCGATTTTAAACCCGCTGTCCCGGGTTTTTTTAAATGCTGCCGGGTGGCAGCGCTGCCGCCCGGCAGCATTTTAAAATTGCCCCGGACAGCGGAGAAGTCCCCCGCTGTCCCGGGGTTTTTTAAAAACCTCTCCGCCCCCCCCGCCAGGCTTCGGAAGGCTGCTCCGAAGCCTGGCGGCGGGAGGAGGTCTCCGCCCCCCCGCCAGGCTTCGGCGCAGCCTTCCGAAGCCTGGCGTGGGGAGAAGGTCTCTCCGCCCCCCCGCCAGGCTTCGGAGCAGCCTTCCGAAGCCTGGCGGCGGGAGGAGGTCTGAGGACAGTGGGGAAGACGCCCTGCGCTTCCCCGCTGTCCCGGAGATTTCCCGGGGTATGCCTCTGAATAACAGCTTCTGGAAGTTGCAAGTGGAGTCAGTACTATGCAATCAGGTCCCGCTTGCAGGTTCCCCAAAGGCATCTGTCTGGCTACTGTGAGAACAGAGTGCTGGACTAGACGGACCTTTGCCTGATCTAGGAGTGCTCATATTATAAGAATGCTCTTGTGATTTTTACTTTCATGTTTAATTGGGACTGGGACTTTGCTGAAATTGACAGTCTGTATGGGCTATGCTTTTATATGGACAGTTCTGTATTAAAGGAGAATGTATATTTTCCTTTTTGTTCATTTGGGGGTTAGGGAGTTTATCTGCGAAGCCCGATATGCCCTGCAGCACAGTTTGGAAGAGAGAACTTCATGGTGGATAAAGATCCCAGAAACTCCAGCGGGTGCAGAATGCTGCAGTGAGGCTCCTCACAGGGTCTCTGCCATGGGAGCATATTCACCCAGTGCTTTTCAAGCTGCACTGGCTCCCGGTGGAGTACAGGGTCAGATTTAAGGTGCTGGTTTTGACCTTTAAAGCCCTTCACAGCCTAGGACCCTCATACCTATGGGACCGCCTCTCCCGGTATGCCCCACAGAGGACCTCAAGGTCCATAAACAGCAACACCCTAGAGGTCCCGGGCCCTAAGGAAGTTAGATTAGCCTCAATCAGAGCCAGGGCCTTTTCAACACTGGCTCCGGCCTGGTGGAACACTCTGTCGCATGAGACCAGGTTACTGCAGGATCTGATTTCTTTCCGCAGGGCCTGTAAGGCAGAGTTGTTCCGCCTGGCCTTTGGCTTGGAGTCAATTTGATTCCCTCCCCCTATTTCTTTTTCCTTTCTCCTCTTGTGAGGAGGCTGCATTTATTGTTTTAATGTTGTATTTTAATCTTGTTTTTTAAGTTGCATTTCAATCAACTTGTTTTTTATTGGTTGTTAGCCAGCCGCCCTGAGAGCCCAGTCTTGGCTGGGGAGGGCGGGGTATAAATAAAATTTATTATTATTATTAGAACTTCATGGTGGATAAAGATCCTGATGCATCTCCCATCTGAGGTCCTCCATGACTTCCTGTTGCCTGTGACCTGCTGGGCAGAGATTGTGACTGGCAGGGGGCAGGCAGAAAAAGGATATACCTGCAGGAGACACCAGTTCATGCCAGAACTCAAGGGACATCAAAAGGCTTTTGTATGCCTGGGAGAGAGGTGGCAAAAGAGATATATTCTGGGGTAGGGCAATGAAGTAGAGTGTTCTTTTACAAGGAACGTTTGCATTCTTCCTCTCAAAATGAAGGATGTTTCATTTGCAAAGTTGTGCAAAGTTTGCTGGACTATTCAGTCAGCTAAAGGCTGGTTTGGGTGCTTCCAGCCCACCAGCCATAGAGAAAAGCTAAATTCACAGTATTATTCAGTCCAGATCCTCAGATGTCATGTTGGACTACAATTTCTAAGCTGGCTGAGGATGATGAGAGTTGTAGTCCAACAATCAACTGCTTCCAGTTACAAGAAAGTAGATTCCAACTAAACATCAGGAAGAACTTTCTGATGGGAAGAGCTGTTTGGCAGTGGAACAGACTCCCTTGGAAGGTGGTGGACTCTGTAGGTTTTTAAGCAGGGCCTGAATGGTCATCTGTCATTGATGCTTTAGTTGACATTCCTGCATTGCAGGGGGTTGAACCAGATGATCCTTGGGGACCCTTCCAACTCTACAGTTCTATGATTTTATGAACATCTGTGGACAGGGGGCTGAAGATGGCTTTATAGCACACCTGCCCTCTATGCACACTCTGAGTGCTTGATTACTTCCCTCCTGGGATGTCCATTTGTGGCTGCAATTTTCCACCTACATGTGGAAAATCCAATGCACGTGGCAAATTTCCCAGATAATCTCTGGTAACTGACCATGCAGGCTGTTCCTACATGTGCTAGATATTACTTGTACAGGTAACTTTGAATCTTATGGTCCTGAGCAGATGTCCAAGGATGCCAGAGACAGGCATGTAACAGAATCAAGGTCAGCAGCTATGCTCTGGTCCCCTTCCATATGTATGAGACTGACCAGGGAGAGATACTGTCCATTCTAGTCCAAAAAAACTCTTACAATTAATTGGCAGTGATAGTGATATTTCCCTCCCCACCCCAATTCCAGAGTTTAGAATTTTAGCACCATGTCCCCAGGTGGAATGCCTCAGCAACACTTATGAAATGTATGCTTTGCTATAACATTACTACAACATCTTAATCTCCACTTACGGATCTGTCCTTCCTTTCTTTTCATCCACAATGGCCAGGTCCTTGCACTGACAAACGAAAATTTGAAATTCCCGGTTCTTCTCATCATAATCCAGGGCAAACTGAACGTGTCCCTGGGCATCGACACTCCCAAAATCACCACTGTACACACTCAGGACACTGCCACTCACCTGTCCAAGGTGCAAGAGAGACATTCATTCATTGTTAGAAGGTCTATAGGTTCAGGATTGCTTTAAAATGTGGAGAAATGACCCAACTTGGTCTGTGTACACAACATACTTCTAAAACACATGGATTCCCCCAAAGAATCATGGGAAATGTAGTTTACCCCCTCCACAGAACTACAATTCCTAGCATTCTTAACAAATGACAGTGAGAGACAGTGTGGTATAGTGGTTAGAATATCAGACTAGGACCTGGGACACCAGGGTTCAAATCCTCTCTCAGCCGTGAATTTCATTAGATGATCTTGGTCCAGATACTGGTCCTTGGGGTCTCAAATTTCAGCGGCACCCTGTGTGATGCCAGAATTAGCACCCCCCCTTTCAATTCTAAATAATAGTTGCAACATTGAGGCACCCCTGAGGTTTCACGCCCAGTGCAGCCAAATCAATCATGCTCCTCTAAATATGCCTCTGCTTACCGAGGAGACGGAGGCCATATCAGAGGAGTGGCTCCCCACACTGGGTGTCTTCTTGTGCCTGCTGAACTGGAAGCTGATTTCTGAAGCTGTGTCTGATTCTGTCTGCAAATCAAGCCAAGGTGGATATTAATTATTGGTCATGGAATGTTTGAGTGTTTTTCTGCAATGGGAATTGAGGGATGTGATTGGTGCAAGCAGAAGATGATTGTTGAATGACTATGGTTCTTGACTTCCCAATTTTTATTAGTGCATCAGAATACTTTTTGGGGGAAGGGGGATATCCATCTGATTTTTCTTATTAAAATAGGCAGGGCTTGGAATAAAGTTGTTTAGTTTAATTAAGTTTAACTGTTTTAGTTCAAAAACATCAGAAAGCAGTTGCCATAATTGCTAGGTGCACTAAATGTGAATTAAGTTTATCTCGGGTAGAACTTTAAACAGTTCCTACTTCATCTTCAAGTCCATTCCCTTGAAAGTGGTTCTTTCAGCCTTTCCTTAGCCCTCTAGTGGCTATGGTGGGTCATTTACCAGACGTAACGAACTTATCGTTAACTCTGGAAGTGCATGCTTGATTCTGACCAAACTAAGCCACCGGCTAGGAGGGACTCATGGGTTGCATGTGAATTATTTCCAACTTTCCTACCCCACTACCCAGGGAGTTCCGAGAACTGCTGTCCTGTGAGGGGAAATAAGGGTTTCCTAACAACTCTCAGCACCCTTAAACAAGATACAGCTCCCAGGATTCCTTGCAGGGAAGATGTGACTGTTAAAGTGGTACAAAGGTCCTGTAAATATTTGGTGCAGTTGTAGCCTGAGCAGCAAAAGGACTTAGTAAACACGATACAGGCAGACCAACATAGTCCTACCTCAGATAGCAGGAGAGGAGTGGATTTGCTAAAGTCTTTGGCTCTCTCAGGCTCAAGGTACTGGTGGTTGGGCACCTGAGGCTTAGTGTACGCTGGAAACAATAAAAGAAAACATATCAACATGAAGATTGTATCCTGTGCTCTGAAGCAACAGAACCAGTTTCATTATCTGTCTAAACCATTAGATATAGAGACTGTGGCAAACCAAGCAGCTTAAAAAAATATGTGTTGCATTGCACTCACACATTCTTAAGCCTGTTTCTTTCTTTTTTTTCTTTTAAAAATATCAATAGCCATTTTCTATTTTTCTAGAAAAAGAGGTGCTGGAACTCACCATGAATGCCTCCCCCGTTCTCTTGGAACAGACATGGCACCTACCTGAAAGTCACCAGAACTCGGTTCCAGTGAGTTAATTGCCTTTAAAAAGCCCATTACAAAGGCATGGCAACTAAAGCAGTTAAAGGGGAATATCTCCGTTTACGCATGGATTCAGCGCCATCTGTTGGTTGAAATAAAAATTGCTGGACTGCCAAAAGCATTCGGTGAAATTAGTGTAAATAAGGCACAGGATTTAATAAATTGTGTAGATAAATAGTTAGGAGAATCAGTGGTGTTCATGATCAGAGGGGTTGTTGCTGTTGCATTGTCCACGTGTTGTCTTTATCAAAATGTCATCCTGTACTACTTCTGCATTTCACTGGTAAGTAAAAACAACCCCTTATAAATCCACTACTGATGTGGGAGCTCATAAGAAAGAATTCCAAATCTTCAGGAATCCTTTCCCCCCCCCTTGCCAAATCATTTTTAATTGATTTTCCACATTTTACCAAATCAGCCACAAATTAAAACAAATTTAATACAATGGGGGGATGGACTGGTTCCCCACAATTTATTCTTGAAGAATCCTTTAGGTGTGTTCAGCCAAATGGACGTACAATATTCCAACAGACTAGGGCTGTTTAAGCCAAGCCAGTCTCAGCTGGGTGATACAGAATTCTGCTGGAAACGGGTGCAGGAATCATTGCAATGCACATGTTTGTTTGAGGTCAGTATGAGGAAGTATGACCAATATTTGATATAGCTTTTTTTTTAACTTCACAATTGTTACATTAATAATTATGTTATTTTCTGCACTGTGTTTGATGTTCCCCTTCCACTGAAATTAATTACGTAATTAATAATGTTAGCTTTGCCCATAGCTCTTAGCAAAACAAACAACTTCCTCCAGCAGGAACAGCAATGTTGGGGGGCAGGGAAGGAGTAGGGCTAACATGCACAGCCCCCACTCCACTCTAAGAGCATATTCCTTTTGAACACCTGAAGGCAGGTCGTCTGCAAATGTCTTGAAAGGCCTTCCAGATTGTTGGGCTTCTCCACCCTGTTCTGTTTCCTTATTCTCCAGCAGGCAGCAAAACCAGATTTGTTAAGCCTGCTATGTATGACTGGTAGGTTCAGCTCCATGTGTTATACCGTATTTTTCGCTCTATAGGATGCACTTTTCCCCCTCCAAAAATGAAGGGGAAATGTGTGTGCGTCCTATGGAGTAAATGCAGGCTCCTTGGCTTCAGCGATAGCAACAGGAAGCCTCCGAAGCGCAGAGGGAGCGCTCCCTCCGCACTCCGGAGGCTTCGTGTTGCTTTCGCTGAAGCTTGGAGAGCGAGAGGGGTCGGTGCACCAGGCTTCAGGCAGCTATCCGCAAGCTTTAGGAGCGCGGCAGGAGTTCCCCCAGCGCTCCGAAGGCTTGCGGATAGCAGCCTGCAGCCTGAAGCCCGGGGAGCGCAGCGCCAACTCCTGCTGTCTTGGCTTCTTTGCTCTTTGGGGCTGGGGGGGGGAAATAATTTTTTCCCTTTATTTCCCCCCCTAAAAACTAGGTGCGCCCTATAGTCCAGTGCGCCCTATAGAGCGAAAAATACGGTAACTTTTGCCAGCTTGCTTTGTTAGAAAAAGTCAGACCAGTGGATTGAAGCAAGCTACTACTTACTTTCTGTGGTAGTATAAATGTTCACCAAGCTCTTCGCAAGGCTATAGCCATTGGCACATATTAATTTATTGGCAGCCGGAGAATGATGTTCATTTCCCTCTGGAATAAATTGGAAAACAAGCAGGTGTGTATTAAACAATGTAAGACATTGGCATTATTGTAACCAAGGTTTGAACAGGGTAGCTTCCACCTCCCCCTAAGCTTTCCCCTCCTATTCTTTGTTTATTTGATCTAGAGATTACGGCTTGTGGTCCTGGAGCTTGTGTACACAGCTGGGCCTTCTGGCTTACACTGTTCTGCTCCAGCAGCTCTTCCAGACACTGGGTTGGTTTGTATTAATGCACTGCTGGCCACCCAGGTCAGTTGCTGCCAGCTTGCAAGTGAAGATGAGCTCTTTGTAATATTGATTCCAGTTTTTTAGTCCATGGCTAAGCAGACTAAGGGTGGAGAACCTGTGGCTCTCCAGATGTTGTTAGACTACAACTCTGATCTTCCCGGACCATCCACTGATGGAACACTCATAGAGCTCAGGTTCTCTCATTCACTGTCAGGGTCAGTCCTCAAAGTAGATAATTGTCTCTGATCACTGGTCATGCCAGCTGGCCTGGTAACAGTTGGAGTCCAACAACATCTGAAGAGGCACAGGCTCCTTAGCCCCTGGAGAAGACAAGCCCAGAGAAGGGGCAACTGTACTGGAGTAATAATTATGGTGGTTGTATTTCCGAAAGGTAAGGCACCAAATTGTAGATTAATTGTTGTTTAAGATGTATATGATGGTAGCTTACTATCCTAGATAAACAGATGACAATATTTTACTTAACATTTTCTACGTTTGATTGGCAATGTGGTATGTGCAAGTTGGTACAGGGTTGCAGCCCATGTTTGTCTTACTCAGAGTAGACCCACTGGAATTAATGGACACGACTAACTTAGGCCCATTAACTTTAATGAGTCTACTCTAACTTATCAGGGTACAACCTCACGTTTTTGTGTTTTTTGTATTGACAAAACTATGTATAACTAGCAAAGCATCAGTACCTGAAAGCATGGAAGAATCCACTTCCTGAGCGACTCCTCTTTCATCTACAGCCTCGTTTTGTAGTGGGTCCTCTGCAAGGCTACTAGGCCCATCTTTAAGCTGCTTCTTTTCCATTTCCAGGTTGTCTTGAGAGCCCAAGTCAGAACTTATTTCCACAAAGCTACCAACTTTATCAACATCCTCTGAAGATACAGACTCTATCAATATCTGAACCCTACCTGCTAAAGAATCAGTCTTACGTTTGCTTTCATCAGCCATGATAAACTCGTCAGCAGGGGTCTCTGGCTCAAAAATGATGCCAGTTCGCTCTTTAGCTGGTGCCTCTATTTTGACTGATGGCACTCGAACTGGCAACTTTGATCTCCTTGTGCAACGTGGTACCTTCTTCTTCTCCTCCTCCACTGGAGACTGCTTCCCATTCCCATCACTTAGGCTATTTCTGTTGGTCATTGCCCCTTTGCTTCTGCCATATGTGGACCGGGGGATTGCAGATCCCGATCCTTTCCTTGGAGGAGCAGTATAAGTGGGCTCATCTTCACTGGAAGACAAGGCGACTGGCTTCCTGTAGGGGATTCTGGCTTTGGGGTGTATATTAGAAGTGAACTTGTCATCACCATTTTGGCTGTTATTAGACTGGGCTGAGAGAGATCGGTTCAGTCTTGCTGGCCTTCCATTGGCCTCTGTGGTGCTGGCCTTTTCTGCTGAGATTTCAGATACATCATTAGCCAAGAGGGACTCCCCACCCTTCTCCCAAAAGTTCTTCAGGTTCTTAAAGTGTTCCCGATCCAGACCAATCTCCTCATCTTTATTGTTGCTAGAGGAGATTGTATAATTGGCTCCTTGTTTGACAGAAGGGCCATTTTCCCAATCTAGAGTAGGTAATTTTGAGCTCTTTGGTGATTCTCTCTTTGCTAGACCAAACTCAGGATTCTCAGCTCCATTAGCTATAACTGTGCTAGGTTGGAACGATCCTTTGTTGGACATCCTCTTCACGGGTATTTTGCTGGAAGGGCTAAATTCTTCCTGTGGAACTGGTGAGAATGTGTGGCTTTCTGAAGGAGCATCTGCAACATCCCCGCCAGTTGAATAAGAAAAATCATCAAGATCCTTTTCAGAAAGCTTTGTGGATATTGTTGAGGGTATTTCATGACCTGCAACAAAAATAGAACCCCAAGAGCCTGTTCAGAGCATCATTGACAGAACTACACTCAACTGCTTTGCAATTACAAGGTGTTCTGAACTAGTGTTTTCCAGTCTGGTTTCCTCCAGAGGTTTTGCAATACAACTCCCATGAACCCCAAGCATAATTTCCAATGCTCACAAATGATGGTGGCTGAAATTAAAAACATCTGGAGGGCATCAGGTTGGGGAAAGCAGTACCCTATAATTTATTATGGGCAACTGACTGTTATCAGGAAGTGCATACCATCCAACTGGGCTATGTGAATGTCCTCATTCTGTGCTCTCCTATGGTTCTTTTGGCTCTGGAGAAAGCAGTGCATTCTGCCCCAGGCGCAGGGTGCAACTACACATTGCAAAGCAAACCTGGGATTACCAATTCCAGTGGAAGTGTGTACGGTATGGTGGAGCTGAGGCCAGCATTTGCTGGCCAGAGGTGAAGTTGGGACTATATGGGTGCATTGGTGGGGCCACCCCCACCAATTTAGTGCTTCTGCTGGTTCAACTCACAGGAGCTTGACCTTGCAGTGGCCCCATCCAGATAAGCTGCTACACTCACCTACCACCTGACCTCAGATGCAGGGATGGAATATGGACTAGGAAGAATTACTGGGTAGGAGGGGAATGTTTTACCTTTCCTTCACCTGCTGGTTCTCCCCTGTAAATGTGCCTCCCTGAATAGAAGCTCCCAATGCTTAACTTCAAGAAATGAAGCATGTTGTTGTTGTTTAGTCGTTTAGTCGTGTCCGACTCTTCGTGACCCCATGGACCAGAGCTAGCCAGGCACCTTACCTTTTCCATACCCTTGCGAGTTGCTTCTTGTAACCAAGAAAGGACTTATACCAACGCCACTGTCTGCTGGAGAGATATCTTCTACGCTCGATCTCTGAAGAGGAAAATACGAGTTATTTATTTATTTACTAAGAGAATCTGTACCCTGCTCTCCAGCCAAAAAGAGGCTCTCAGAGCAGCTTGCATACGATCAAGACAAGACAGACAGCTCCCACCCACAGGCTTACAACCTTAAAAAAAGAACCACTACACACGGGGGAAAAGGACAGGGAGGGAAGAGGAAAATCAAATCCACAACTCAGGCCCATAGCTGTCAACTTTCCCCTTTTCTTGCGAGGAATCCTATTCGGAATAAGGGAATTTCCCTTAAAAAAAGGAAAATGTTGACAGCTACGCTCAGGCCCCACTTTCTAAACAGTTGTTCTTGTAGCAACCAGTTGGCACAGTTCAGGGGCAGGAGATGCCTGGTGGAGCTGGGCCTCCAACAAAACTGATGAAATGAGCTCCAAATCCCAGCTATCCCACTGAGGCAGTCTGGTGGCATGACTGCCCTCAGATGACAGAGATATTTATTCAGGCGAAAAGTGGTACAGGCTCAGCAGCAGAAGTCATGATTCCAAGGGAAGAGATTCATTATGAAACAGAGGCTACAAAGATGTCCCAATGGTTGGCATACCCCACCCACCAAGCTTTTAAAGACAAAGTGGATGTGAGCTCACTCATGAGACTCTCCCTCTCTCCCTACAATTCTGCTGCATGTGCACACATAGACATTCCATCTGGGTGCAGTTGTGTTTTGGGAGGGAGCCTGACTTGTAAACCACTTCCAGGGCTTTTTTTCCAATCAAGTGTTATATAAATGAAATACATCGCCCAGGAGAACCTCTCTCTTTGCTGTCTTGCCCCACTGTGCTTTGGAAGCTCCACCTTGGGACCAGAAAAGAACACCCGCCCTCCCTGAATCTGTGTACCGCCTCCCCATCTAAGCCACTGGCCATCACCACACCTTGTGACAGCAGATTTCATATGTTCTGTATCCTTTATGCCAGGTGTGGGGAATCTTTGGTCCTCTAAGTGTTGCTGAACTAACATCAGCCCTATCAAGTATGGTCAATGGCCAGGAATGATGGGAGCTGCAGCAGGTTCAACAAGGTTCCCCATCCCTACCTATGTTAAAGAGGACTTTTGTTTGTTTGTTCTAGATCTACAGCTGCCTGTCAATGCCAATCCCACTTCCATTGGACACACTACCTTCTCTGCAGAGGATGGAAGAGTAGACAACCTCAGTCTTGGCTTTGGTTTGGATCTGTGTCCTTCTGCTGAATCCAAAGAAGCTTCACGTGATCTGCAGAGAAAGAACAACATTTTATCACAAAGACACAAATCCTGAGATGATGATGATGTATTGGATAATCTCATTGGATCATGTATTGGTTACAACAGTATGAAAATTGTTATGTACTGAGTTGAATAGGATCCAAACTGCAGCAGTCTGATTGGTTCTAGAACAATAGGATCCAAAAGGCAGCAGTCTGATTGGTCCTAGAACAATAGGATTCAGAATGCAGCAGTCTGATTGGTCCTAGAACAATGCAGCAGTATGATTGGTTGGCAGGAACTACCCAATCATGCTCCAGATAGAAGTGAATCCACAACCTGATTGGCTTACAGTAGAATTCCGGAATTAGCCAATCATGTGCAGCCCATTGTGTAAATAATGTATATAAAGCAGATATTTGAGGGGACATTCATTCATTCCTCCTCACCACTATGAGCTGAATAAAGAGCATGAAATCACTTTGCGACTCTAAGTATATTTCACTGGCGACGAGGATGGGATCCCGCTGAGCTGACTGCCACACACAGCACCGCAGCACCGCCACCTGCCGCACCGCTGCCTCGCACCGTGTATCCAGGCTTCAGCTCTGGGACACAAGGAACTCAGAATGGCAACCGACAACAGCTTCTCGCCATTCAACCCAGCATCTGGAGACTGGGAAGCGTACGCCTCCCGTTTCACCTTCCTCCTAGAAGCCAAAGGGGTCACCGACGAAGAAGACGCCAAGAAGAGGGCAATATTCTTCAGCGTCTGCGGAGAGGAGACGTTTGAAATCGCCCGGGCTCTCCTTGCGCCTGAAGACGTCGCTACTGTTCCATACAAAACAATAATGGAACAGCTGAAGGGGCACTTTTCACCACAGCCCTCAGTGGTGGCTCGTCGAAATGCCTTCTACGCAAAGCGGCAAGCCCCTGGGGAAACCATAACTGGGTTTGTGACCTCTCTCCGCCAAGCCGCCCGGTTCTGCAACTTCTCAGAGCTGGAGAACATGCTTCGTGACCGCCTCGTCGGTGGCCTGAAGGATGAGAAGCTGCAACGACGCCTCTACGCTAAGAAGGACCTAACGTTCCAGGTCGCTCTGGAGGAGGCCCTGGCAACGAAAGCTGCCGAGAGGTCGACGCAAGAGGCACGGCCGAGCCAGCCGTCCCAATCGAGGGTCCACCACGAAGACCTCACCGACGACTCAGGATCCAACAGGGAGGAGGTGCACCGAGTACAGCAGCGCACTCAAGCAGCCCACACACCACAGCTGCCTCGACGAGAAGGAGGGAACTGCGCAAGCTGTGGAGAAAGTCACGAGAGGAGGACCTGCCGTTTCCGCAACGCAGAGTGCAGGCAGTGCAGAAAATCGGGACACATCGCCTGGGTGTGTCGGGCTCGGCCCACCCGACGCCAGGCATCAGATGACCAATCCAAGAGCCCCAACGCACCAAGGCAACTCGACAGAGCTCACGGACTTCCAGGTATACCAGTTGCCCCACCCCAACGTAGAGAAAATTTATGTTGACGTACAGATAGAGGGGGCCCCATGCTGCATGGAGCTTGACACGGGTTCAACTCTATCCATAATCTCAGCAAGGACCTTAAGGAAACTGTGTCCTACTGGGGGTCCCAAACTCAGGCCGGCCCCATTCACCCTCCGGGACTTCCAGAAACGTAAGGTCCCCACAATGGGGGTGGGGACCTTCAGGGTGCAATACCGAGGGCGGACGCGGCAACTGGACTTGCTAGTTGTCCAGGGCCCCTACATTAGCTTACTGGGATTGGCATGGTTTGGACCACTGGGGCTAGCCGTCACCGGGGTGAACCACACTAGCTTACAAGTGGACGTGGACGCCATATGCAAGGAATTTCCGGGGGTTTTCGATGGGAAATTGGGACAGTATACGGCCCCCCCATTGCTCTACAGCTTGACCCCGCAGTACGACCGGTCAGGCTCAAGGCCCGCCGGGTCCCGTTCGCCCTGAAACCCCGTATAGACGAGGAATTGGACCGGCTTGTGGAGGAAGGAGTGCTGGAGCCGGTGCCTAATGCCCCCTGGGAAACCCCAATCGTCACACCCGTCAAGCCTAATGGTTCGGTCCGCATCTGCACAGACTACAAATGTACCATAAACAAGGCCCTCACAGCCCATGCATACCCTGTGCCAGTGGTCAGCCATGTTCTTGCCACCCTGGCTGGGTCAAAATTTTTTGGCAAGCTGGACTTGGCCCAAGCATATCAACAGCTGCCAGTAGATGAGGCCACAGCAGAGGCACAGACGATTGTGATGCTCAGAGGAGCATTCAGGGTAAAGCGGCTGCAATTCGGTGTCAGCGTGGCACCAGGCATATTCCAGAATCTAATGGACTCTCTACTTAAAGGGATTGCTGGCGTCACCCCCTTCTTCGATGATGTGTTGATTGCCGGGCCCACACCAGAGGAGTTTGAGGACCGCCTCCGCACCGTTCTGCACCATTTCCAGACGGCGGGTCTCAAGGTGAAGCGGGAAAAATGTCTACTAGGAGTGCCTCAGGTGGACTTTCTGGGATTTATGGTGGACGCAGAAGGGGTCCACCCGACTGGGGACAAGGTACGGGCCATTTGTGATGCCCCAGTGCCCAAGAACAAGACTGAACTTCAGGCCTTCTTGGGACTATTGAACTTTTACCATTCCTTCCTTCCCCACAAGGCGGGGTTCTAGGACCAATCAGACTGCTGCAGTTTGGATCCTATTCAACTCAGTACATAACAAAAATACTAGGGACTGTGACACTGCTTGCCTTACTCAACCCCCCCCCGCTATCTCTCCCATATTAACTCCCTAGAGCTTCCCCTTCCCACCCCAATACAACAACTAACCTCACTTTTCACCTTCCCAACCACGTTTCTGAAGTCACTTCTCTCTTCTATTCTGCAACCTCATTTTGCACCTATTTTTGCCTTCACACTCATGTCTCTGCCTCCCTTTCCTTTTGTGCAACCCTTTTTTTTTGCATGCAAACCACCCTTGCGGTAACTTCATGCATCTTCCTCCTCCTACAGACTACAATTACTAATGTAGCAGGAACCCCCCACCCCAATCATTCTGCTTGTACAAACTTCACACACACACACACTCACACACTACATACGCCACATTTCTGTTATAAATTCATAGAAAATCAACCATACATCGGATTTGCACTGTTCCATTTTTATTTTACTCCATATGACAAGAACTAACAAAGGGGGGGGTGACTTATTCCTGGTCAGCCATAATCCCTCCACCATCTCAGCACATCTCAGCACATCTGCAGGAGCCCTGCCCAGATGATCCCAGACAGAAGACAATCAAGACCACAAAGAACTTGCATATGGGAGTGGATTCAACACGGACTGAAACAAAGAACAATGATCAGATCTTCCCTCAGGGGGCAGGAAACTGCAAACTCCCCTTTGTCTCCTGGAAGTGACTCATGGGGAGGGGGGAGAGGAGGAACCAGCCAGGTGACAAGACACTCAGGTTACCACCAACTCCTCCCTCAACCCCTCCTTTCTGTAATGTATGCATGATGTTTCTGGGGGTGGGCTTGACCTAGAGGAGGGGAATTTCAAAAGTTTTTATAAGACCTGGCACACTATTTTTCTGGGTCTTTCCTCTCTCCTGCAAGTGAGGGGAACACCCTGATGCATCAGTTCAATAAAGGCCAAGCCTACAGGCTGCTGTTTTGCTCCAAGTTATCCTGGTTGGTGTCTTTGTTTTGTCCAAGGGAGCCCCTCGGATTTTTCCTGCAACACTAAGAATCCTTTTTCACCCTCTGCCCAGTTATGAAGCTACCATCCCTTCCTCTTCTCCAGACCCTTTGATGTTTCCTCTTTCATGCTTCCTCCTCCCTCTTTTTTTGCAATCCCCTCTGGACTCTCCTATTCTGCAGCCACCTTTGCACCCAGCCACCCCATGCCGATATACAGCATGCTACTGTGTCTTGAAAGTGAACAGAATCCTGCCAGCTTGTTCCGTTACAGAAGGTTAACTTCAGTTGATGGGTGTTATACAAAGATGGGGGTCTGCTCATTATTAAAGTATCTCTTCTAAATTACAACAATGGATCTGGAACTTCATGTTGAAGGCAACTCACAGTACCAAGAGCAAAATAGTTTTTGTGCAAAGGTGCTATGGGACATTTGAGGCTAATACAACAGAGTCTTTCCCGGCTTACTTCTCAAGGTAGTCAAACCTTGTCTTAAACTGCCACTCTTCCCCCGCCCCCTACTCACACCTCTGCCATTGTTTAAATCACCACTTTCCCCACTGCTCAGTTTCCTTTATTCAAACCTCCACTGTTGTCTAAAACCTGCCTTCTCTTTTGCTCCCCTCCCCCGCCTAACTTCATGCAAATCCAGGATTGTGATGCAGCCCTACAAATCCTCCAATGGGAGTTGAGTGATGACGTTCTGACATGGACGACATTGAAATCAGTAAACAATTTACAGTCAGAAGAATAGAGGAGGTCCTAAATCATATACAGTCATACCTCAGGATGAATACGCTTCAGCTTAAATATTTTCGGGTTGCGCTCCACGGTGACCCAGAAGTAACGGAATGTGTTACTTCTGGGTTTTGCTGCTCGCGCATGCGCAGACGCTCAAAATGACATCACGCGCATGCGCGGAAGCAGCAAACACAACCCGTGCAGACGTGCAGTCATGTCTTACGTTCACTTCAGGATGCGAACGGGGCTCTGGAATGGATCCTGTTCGCATCCAGAGGTACCACTGTAATAATATGAGGTGTCAAAGGCCAATATACAAACAATGTTGTTCCATGCAGATGCTGGGTGCTGTTACTGTTGCTGGTTGAGCGGGTGTGTTGTGTGTCAACATGGGGTCTATCACAAGATCTATCACATGTATGTATCCATCTGGCTCAATACTGTTTACAGTGACCAGCAGCATCTCGCCAAGCTGGGAAGGTGTCTTATACTGAGGCAGTTCACTGGTACATCAGTATTGTCTACACTGACTGGCAGCAGCTCTCCAGGGTTTCAGACAGGTTCCCGGTTCTACCTAGAGCTGTCAAGGGTTGAACCTGAGACCTTCTATATGCAAAGCTATGCCCCTTTGTTAGAAACAACAAGCATCAAAATTTGAACAAAAATAAAATAAAATACACAAAACATAAAAACACCAGCTTC